GCCGCCGGTTTAAGTCATCATCATCCTAGGGGCAGTCAGTTTGTTTGCAGTTCTAAGGCTGTGGAAATTTTGGGTGTTCTTTTTTTATTGCCACCTTCATAGGTGGCTGGGGGAGATTCAGGAAGTGGCAGTCCAAAAAGACATGTTTTCCCACAGTTGGGAAGTTCTAGCCTAAATCATTTGGGGGAATGGGACCAAGGCCAGATTTCAAAGCCTGCAGGAACAGACAGAATTGATGCCTTTAGTACCCTAAAGAGACAGAAATGTATATGAATGGAATAAAGGAAAAAAAGCAATCCTTCTCAAGCTGTGATGCAATGTACAGATGGTTTTCACTGTGCCAGGAATTATTTACATAATTTTGCTTTCTTATTGGTATTGATAAAGACATTTATCCTGAGAAATAAATGTTACAGTAATGGTTTAATCAGTTACACGTTTAATCCTAAATTATAATTTTAGGTAATTTATTAAAATTGTCTCTGAGCAGCAGTCAAGTGCTTGCAGTGTCAAAGCACTTTTTTCTTGTAATACTGTGATACTTTTTTATTACTGTGATCTTTATTCCTGTTTAAAAAATGGGAAAAATCCAAAATCATATAATACACTAAGGATGTGTACATTTTTTTTTTAAAAAAACCTTTGTAAGATTAATGTATTGATGAACTGTATGATCAGTGGAGATGAGAAATCTGAAAGTGCCTGTTGACAGCCTAGCATAGCTTCCCTTTCAGTTAACGAAATAGCTATTTATGTAGTGCTTAACTTGACGGTGAGGATAACTTGCACAGTTTTGTAAGGCTGGATGTGAGGCAGGCAATGTTGTCAGGGCTGTGGTATTAAAACTTACCTTCTAAAATCTACAAAACAGTATGGAATACCAGAATTAGCAGCATTATAAGATATTTTTTCAGTTTTTTTTGAAATACAGCGTAAGAGGATTGAATAGTTAGTGTTTTGACTATTTCAGTTATTAAAATGTAATGAATAATTCTTATTTTTGTAAGGCATTTTTGACAAGGAAATGAATGCTATTTATTGAGCTCATTAGTAGTTTTGGTGTTAATTACACAAATACATTTTGAGAATTTTTCAGTAATCACCTAAAAATACCTTAAAAACAAAAAAATAGACATAAACAACTTTTCTTACCAGCAAGTTGGTTTTACCACTTTAGGAGAAAAAGGGAACATAAGCTCAGTATGGGTTGCTGTAAGTTTTTCGGGCTGTATGGCCATGTTCCAGAAGCATTCTCTCCTGATGTTTCGCCTGCATCTATGGCAGGCATCCTCAGAGGTTGTGAAGGGGTTGTGCAGGCAAAACATCAGGAGAAAATGCTTCTGGAACATGGCCATACAGCCCAAAAAATTTACAGCAACCCAGCTATTCCAGCCATGAAAGCCTTTGACAATACATTGAGCTCAGTATATTGCTTTGTATGCATTTTTTTCCAGAATGGATCTTCAGAGTGATCAGAAGGATATCCAGCATTTCAGAAAACATTACTGGTGCTTCAATAGGAGCATTTGCTTTTAAAAAATAAACAATGAATTGGCACCACATTTCAAATGTGCCATCTCTTGTAAGTGCTTTGGTTAAGTTAAGGTGAAAATTGGAAAATAAAGTGATGCTCTAGTACCATAAGTTGTATGGAATACAAAGGTGGTTTGCTTGCAGTACCCCCCCCCCCAATCAAGAACAACTGGTATTGACTTTTCTGCATTTTTGTTTGTCCAAACACTTTAAAGTACTGTCCTGTATCTTCTGCTTTTATCTATCACTTTTCATTGTTTGCAGAAAACAGATTTTAAATTCTTAAAGAGCTTTTTTAAAAGATTTTTAAGAAAATCACTGGTGCAATTGTCTCTAACAACAGAAGATGGCAATTGCAGAGATTTTTTTCTTTAAAGGATGAGTCTTATGGGATGTTAGGTCTTGTGGCAGTTGTATTAATTTTGAAGTAGAGGTGTTCAGCAGTGAGAGATTAGAATCAACTATGTCTACCTGAAATACATTTAGTGAGTAAGTGTGCTTGTTTTTATCCACACTTGCTTGTGTAATGAGGTGACAAAATAATACTGTTTCTTGCCATATAAAGTGTGGTACCACGTGACTTCCTAATTCTGTAGTTAGTGGTATATGAAATATGTTCTTCATATCAAGTAGTACTTATTAAACTAAGACTTTATGTTTCTATTTTTTAGGGCTTTAAAGCCAACTTGGCTCTTCTGAGACGCCCTGGTGAAAAGACATACACTCAGCGTTGTCGTCTTTTTGTTGGGAATTTACCTGCTGATATCACCGAAGACGAGTTTAAGAGGTTGTTTGCTAAATATGGTGAACCTGGAGAAGTCTTCATCAACAAGGGGAAAGGATTTGGCTTTATTAAACTGGTGAGCAGTGTAATAATTTTCAGTCTGTTGTGTTTGAACACATTGATTTTCCTTTGGTGTATTAAAAATGTGGAATACGACTTAAAAGGAGGTTTGTGTTAGTATGCTGTTTTATGGAAATGCGTGTTGTTTGTATGCATATGTATGTTGTTTTATGTAAATGTATGTTGTTTTTGTTGCAGCACTATTGTGTGCTTTTTGTGAGCTGCCCCAAATCCCTTCGGAGACATGGTGGTGGGTATAAATAAAGTTTTTAATTGCTATTATTTATTTTCCCCTCCTAATAGGAATCCCGAGCTCTGGCTGAAATTGCAAAGGCAGAACTGGATGACATCCCTATGAGAGGAAGACAGCTTCGTGTGCGTTTTGCCACACATGCTGCTGCTCTTTCTATTCGCAATCTTTCTCCGTATGTTTCAAATGAATTGCTGGAGGAAGCTTTCTCTCAGTTTGGTCCAATTGAAAGAGCTATTGTGATTGTAGATGATCGTGGTAGATCTACAGGAAAAGGCATTGTTGAATTTGCATCAAAGCCTGCAGCACGAAAAGCTTTTGAGCGTTGCACAGAAGGTGTCTTCCTTTTAACAACGTGAGTCAATTTTACTTTTTAAATGAAGCTTGGCTGGTTATAGGTGCTGGGCTTAGTGCTTTAATTAACTTTTTGTAAGCCTTTATTCATGGTGACTATCTTTTATCTGGTTTCTAGTACTCCAAGACCAGTTATTGTGGAGCCTCTTGAGCAGCTGGATGATGAAGATGGTCTCCCAGAAAAGCTGGCTCAGAAAAATCCAATGTATCAAAAGTAAGTAAGATTAAACACATATGATCAGTGTGATCCTAACTTTGGCTGGGAAGATAAACCTCCAAATTGGCTTTTGTTATTGGGTTGTCTTTTTGGGGCTTGAAAAAGAAGTGAAAATAGTTCGTTTTGCCATATTGGGATTTTGTGCAATATGTGGTTTCTAGAATGGGAAGATCTTACGGGAAGCTTTCATTTGGTCTAAATGGAAGGATATATGCTTTTCGAGCCATGTTAGCTTTCCACACTATATAAAATTGCTGAAGAAAAATAATCAGCCCCCTTGGATGTGATTTCTAGTTACTTTGCTTGGGTGCATTAAAACTGAATACTTGAATTAAACTTCAGAGTTCTTATAATAAACAAATGACCATGAGTATATTTTCAGCAAAAAATAAAAATTGAAATCCAGCCAGTTCTTCCAGTTTAAGTGGCTTGTTGAATTAATAGCAACTTGATAAATTAATTTTCATTAATTCATTGGGTTTACTTTAATTTAGAATAATATTATAAAAATAAGGCAGTTACTAAATAATAATAATATACTTTATACCCCTCTCCCCGAGGGGGCTCGGGGCAGCTTGCAACAATCCACAGATACAGAAAATAATATAAGCAATAAAGAAAATATCTCAAATCAATCAACAATTAGTACATAAAATTAAAATTACGTTCTAATAATAGCATTAATAAAAGTTTAAAAGCCATTTGCCCTCTAAAAACAATATAAATATAAACAGTTGAAACCAGTCTGCTCCTGTTGCCAGAATATCCAGCATTATGTTCTAATAGGCATTTAGTCCTGTCCGATAATTAAATATACTCTAGCTATTTTCAAAAGCTTGCTTACATAGCTAGGTTTTAATACAGGCAGAATTCATGTCATGTCAATACAAAGTTATCTTTAGTGGCATCTTAAAATGCCATAGAAAGAGGAGAGCTTGCTAGAAAACAACTTACTTGGCTCTCATTTTTGATTATAACCTATTGGATGAAATCAGTTCTTCTCTGTTTCAGTATGTTTGTATATAAACTTTCTATATATCTGGACATTTTTCACACTTTGCATATTTATGTTGCCAGAGCTGTTGACTCTTTTTTATCAAAGCGAGTCTAATGGTCAGTGTTAATTGACTTTTGCAATTGCATTTCAAGGGAGAGGGAGACTCCTCCACGATTTGCTCAGCCTGGAACCTTTGAATATGAATATTCTCAGAGATGGAAATCTTTGGATGAAATGGAGAAACAACAGAGAGATCAGGTGGAGAAAAACATGAAAGATGCCAAGGACAAACTGGAAAGTGAAATGGAAGATGCCTATCACGAGCATCAGGCAAACCTTTTGCGTCAAGGTATTTGGGCAGAAATCTTTGCTAAATGATTTGATTAATTTTCCTCAATGTGCAGCTATTCATATCTGATGCTGTCTTTAAAATATTGCAGATTGTTACGTTAATTTGATCAATTTGGCAGAAATGCTCCTCACAGGAACATATGTATATGGGATGGAGTGGTGCTGATCACTCTTAAAACTGGTCTAAGAATTAGAATACTTGGCAACTTGGTGCTTCATTGAATTTTTAATGCAGTTTTAGTTGGGCATAACTTCAGACTTCGCTTTAAAGGATTTGGGTATTAGTAGGATACTTTTATTTGTCGTGTCAGGGCAACCAGTCAATTGTATTACATTTCTAACAGAACAAAACAGACAGATAAAATACCAAATTTGCGAGTTTGGTAGTTGGTTAAATGTTCTTTGACCAGTAGCTGGCCACTTGGAGTGCTTCTGGTGTTGCTGCAAGAAGGTCCTCCATTGTGCATGTGGCAGGGCTCAGGGTGCATTGCAGCAGGTGGTCAGTGGTTTGCTCTTCTCCACACTCGCATGTCGAGGATTCCACTTTGTAGCCCCATTTTTTGAGGTTGGCTCTGCATCTCGTGGTGCCAGAGCGCAGTCTGTTCAGTGCCTTCCAAGTCGCCCAGTCTTCTGTGTGCCCAGGGGGGAGTCTCTCGTTTGGTATCAGCCATTGGTTGAGGTTCTGGGTTTGAGCCTGCCACCTTTGGACTCTCACTTGTTGAGGTGTTCCAGCGAGTGTCTCTGTAGATCTTAGAAAACTATTTCTTGATTTAAGTCGTTGACGGATACTGATCAGTTATGTAGGATACTGATCAGTTATGATTATAAAGGTTTGAAGCAATAGCGGATTGACCTTTTTTCCTTCAGATCTTATGAGGCGTCAGGAAGAACTGAGACGTATGGAAGAACTTCACAATCAAGAGATGCAGAAACGCAAGGAAATGCAATTAAGGTAAGTTATATTTAAGCACTAGTAGTCATAGCCAGAGTGAAATACTAAGCTCTTGAAGGAACACTAATGTGCCTCATCCATGAGCTCAGCTTTGTTTCTTATTTCAGGTGCAAACCGATTAGTAATTTCTTGTGGGTTTATATACAAGACTGTCTACCAGAAGTTTTTTAAAGTTTTGTTTTTGTTTGTTTTTTTACCTACATAATGATGCTAATTCTAGCCTTATGTGGAACTTACTGTGAAAGCATAGTTTGTTCTTTTGTCTATCAGCATATGATTGTGTATGTTCAGTAGCTCACTTTTTGTGTCACCTGAAATGCAAAAGTCAGCAGTGCTCAGAGATCTAAACAGTGTGTGGATTTTCAGACAGGAAGAAGAGCGTCGTAGGCGGGAAGAAGAGATGATGATCCGCCAACGTGAGATGGAAGAACAAATGAGAAGACAAAGAGAAGAAAGTTACAGTAGAATGGGTTACATGGACCCTGTAAGTCAGGGCTGGAAGAATCCCAGTAGTCTGGTTACTCAGGTGCCTGCATCTCATGTTGATCCCTAGGAATTGAAAAGATACCTTTAGTGTTCTGATCATGGATTTTTAAAATAATCCTTCCTGCTTTGTTTATGTAAATCTTGGGTGCATTCAATTGATAACGGTTTGAATATGAGGAGTACAATGCCTTGAATGTGTGCGCTTTTTCTTAAAACCCTACTTTTGCTTTTGCAGAGGGAGAGAGACATGAGAATGGGTGGCACCAGCACAATGAACATGGGAGGTAAGCAAGTTTTTCAGTTGCATTTATAGATAGGTATGGTTCTGAGTACCTGTTACATAATATTCCCTGGGTTTTCTTTACAGATCCCTATGGTACAACTGCTCAGAAATTCCCACCTTTAGGGGGTGGAACTGGCCTGGGCTATGAAACCAGCCCTGGAGTTGGACAAACATCTATGACCAGTTCCATGATGGCGAGCGATATGGTAATGTATCCTGTGGCAGCTTGACTTCATTTCCAAACAAATACTGCATACCTGAACATCTTTCCTGTCTTGATTCTCACATGACTTGCATTCTGAGTTAGGCTTCCCTTTCCCTGAAGTATTTATTCATAATGTCAAGAGCAAGGGACCTCTTGAGCAGTATAAAACTGAGCCTAGTCTTTGCCAGTATGGTGGCAAGTTTGATCAGACATCTCTGATGTGATTAGAAGACTTTCTGTGGCTAGTTTGGTTTGGAGTTCTGTGGTTAAGCTCGGAAGGAACTCTTCAAATTTTGTGAATAACTATGTGATGGGAAAAGTTCTTGCTGTGGAGTTAGCTTAATAAGTCGAAGTGGTCTTGATCACTTTCTGAACTTGAGTCAACAGAAAGATATAGGAATGAAGATGAACTCCTTATGACATAGATTGGAGGGGACAGTGTTCCAAACCTATTAGGAGATCACTTCATCTTGCATAATCTCTACATCCTTGCTAACTTAGTTGGTTAGTCAGATGGATGGTAGCTAGCATTCATATGCAAATAGTATGTGCTAGCTTTTGCTATAGCACTTAATGAGTTCTTAATATTCCATACTGATATAAATTGTGACCAAAGTGTGTGGTTGTTAGCTGCCCTGAGTCCCAAGGGAGAGACAGGCAGGGTATAAAGTAAATAATAATTCAGTTGCTTGTCAAATTCCAAAAAGATAATGAATAATTTAGTTATATTTTGATACTGCATGAGGTACCTGACTGAAGAAAGGCTTGCTTATTCAGGCCAAATATGCCTCTAGTCTAACATTCACTTCACCATAGTAGTCAGCCAAATCCTTCTGGGATGTCCACACACAAAATATTTAGGCAGCAGATGACTCCCCAGCAGCAGCATACTACCTTTGAACACTTTCCTGTAGCCATTTTGCCCAGCAGTTCATGATGAAAAATCTCTTCTCTACAAATGTTGAATTAGATTGACACCATATCCTGGCTTTGGTTAGAACTATATTTTGTACTGGGCCTGCTTGTAACAATGTAATGGCAATGCTGCAGTGCTCATAATGGGGAAACCCTCCTTTTATTCTCCAGGTTAGTGCAGGTGCGGTGGGTTGCATTTACTTTAAGAGTGAGCTGTAATTAATGCATGATATTACAATGTCCAGGGGTGGAGGGCACTCTGATCTCTGCATTGAAACAATTGCATCATCTAGTGAGCTACTTGTCACTCAGGGGTCACTTTTTCATAGAAATACATCTTATTTTCCCACCTAGCATCTAATTTTAGGATGGTGGTCCAATGGCTTTGACTGCATAACTTAAGGGAGACTGTAATTAATCTAAGACTTTCTTGATATATATCCAGAATTTACAAACTGGCTATATTTTCAAAATTAACAGTATAAACATAGGTGAAAGTCTCAGTCACATAGGACAGGCGATAACTGGAAAACTCTGCATGATGTTCAAATGAGCAGTACTTTGCTAGTAACATGTACTGCTTTACCTGCAAGAGTGTGTAATATTAGAACCTCATGACTTGTTTATATTGACTCTTAATGCTTGGCCTTTGGCAGTTTAAATTGTCAGTCCGATCATTGCAAGCCAGTTGTTAGCGGAAATCCAATTAGGAGGGCTGCTTATATCTAGTGCTTCCAGACTATTAGTGACTCCATGATTGGATACCTGTGCAAATTAGTGATGGGCTCATGCAATGACTTGACATTAGTCATTTTTGTTGCAGAATCACTGTAGAATTTGGGCATTTGTTTGTAGGACTACTGGGGAGAAAAATGTATGAGCCTTTCACATAATGTGTCTGCATGTGTATCTAGTTAAGGGATTCATACCATTGGTCTGAGGAGTTTCACTTAAGTGAATTGGCTGCAGCTTAAAAAAATTGTCAAAATCTTTGGTCATATTTCCTTTGTGTCCAGTAATGAGATAAACAATACAACAGTTAAATTGCCAAGTTAACTTTGTCTGCTTTACCATAGACTGGCTGAGCTGTTGTGTGTCCATTGGACACTAGCTGAAGGTATTGTGTAACTGAAAATCATAGTGGACTTTTTGCAAATCCTGTAAATGTTAGAGGCTTCAAGCTATTTAGTGTGCTGAATCAGTTTGTTTAAAGCACAACCTGTGCACATTTTTTTGTGACCTGGGTAGGTAAATGTTTTACTAGGTTCATCCTCTTTCTTGTGCTTAATCTTTTAATGACTTTTGCTCTCAGACCTCTGCATCTATTCTGAGCAGACGGTAGCATTTAGTCATCACAAAAAGATGGTCTCATACCTTGCACTGGTGAGTAGTTATTTGCTTTACATGAGAAGGCTAATGCTTGAGGGAGCTGAACATAGCTTTTGGCTAGGTTTACTTGCTGACTGACAAACTTGCATTGCAGTACAGATGAGCAAGTGATTGTGGCAAATTACCAGAATTCCTTTCTGAGAGGATTCTTGGTCCAAGCCTATACTAATACTTGCATTTTTAGCACTACAGGGAATATCTGTTTGCTGAAACAGACAAATGAGAATGGATCAATTTGGGAACATACCTCAAGGCATGTATTAAATTAAACTAATTATTAAATTACCCTTTTTTCCTTTCTATGTTCCCGGTACCTGTGGATCGACTCAATGGTGATTGTATCGACGAACGTTGACTACGGAACCTTCTAAAATAAATACTTAACACACATGGACATCAACTACACATAATGAACTCTTAATATCGTTCTGATAGCGCCCTGAACGATTTGGGCAGGGTGGTGCAGGGCCTGTAGCTGGCCAGGGCCCTAGAGGAATGGGGCCTGGAACTCCAGCAGCTTATGGGAGAGGCAGAGAAGAATATGAAGGCCCAAACAAAAAGCCCCGCTTTTAGATGTGATGTAGATTTCCATTCCAGTTTTTTTTCCGTCTTGTTCAGACACTACTTTTTTTTTTAATTCTTGCCTTTTAGTGAGAAAACTGCGTTTTTATGAATGTTAGAAACTTAATGATCTAGAATTTGTAAGTGGTCTGGGCAGAAAATCTAATTATGTAATGCAGTGTTCAAAACTTAGCTTTTTTGATGTATAACGTCCCTTACCTTGATGGCAGTGTACCGTGCGCCATTTGAATTCCCAACTGTAAACTTTTTTTTACTGTGCTTAAAATAAATAGACTACATGTAGCAGTTATTCTTATATCTTAAACTTGCTGTTCACGGTTGAAAGAATACAGGACAAACATGCAACACTTCCTTGCAGTAGGCAGTGTTGCTTGAGGTCTAGTTGGTGTATTGCAGAATTTGGCTTACATGCTGTCAGGACATAAATTTATTTTACCTGCAGTTGGTGTGATACTGAGATGTGATTGCTTTGTGTATGAAATGACATCAAAGTAGCAATACTCAGAAATTGTGGCCAGTGGACTAGATCAGGTCCACAGGCCTTCACCTGCTGGTTTGTGGTGAGTTTCCAGAAATTAAAAAAAAAAGCCAGTGGGCATAATTTTGATATTGGTCCCAGGCATGTTAATCCCCATTGCCATTTTCCTACCATCAGAGAGTCTTGAAAGGCACGGATTTATAGGTGAAGGTTCACTTTTGGAATAAACAACTGGGATAATCTTTCCAGAAGTTGCAATATAGGTTTTTAATGGAGATTCGTAAGAGTTTAATTGCCCTTTATGAAGGCAGTCGAAGAGACTAAAATTCTAGTGCTAATTTCAAATTATACAGTCGCATGGTTGAAATTTCAGACCTAACTGAGAAAGTGGGAGAAGGGGAATTCTGGCAGACAGCTGGTAGTGTTAACTGCTGAGTTTTTAAAAGAGCACCTATATTCCAGGTTCAAACCATAATACGGCTTAGATATACTTATCTTTCAAAGAGTTGCTGTGATATTTCTTTAATATGGCTCATTATATAGCACCCGCTGTGCCTACTTCATTGTTAGCATTTAATTAATATTCTTAGCTTGAAAGCACTGAAATGTGGGAAGGCAGGTTTGTTTTAATTTCTGTAATAATTTAGACATTATAGAGTACAGGAAGAAAACAGAAACTTCAGGGTTAAATTATTGTATAGTGTCATGTACTGTAGTAATTTGCCAGATAGAACCATACAGTAAATACAATTAAAACAAGGTTTTGTAACTTGGGCTGCATAGTACAAAGCTATGTTGAATTTGGTAGAGGTGAATATTTCATTCTTATTAAAACACACCTGAATTCATAGTATGTTGGACTCCATAGCTGCCTGACATCTGAAAGTCTGGGTGCACAGTTTCCCAGGATGTAAAAAGTACTACTGGTTGATGAAAATATCAACCAGATTTAGAGCCCATTCTGTATTTATTTCTGGATGTATTTTCATGTTTAAAAATTCTGATCTTTATATAACTTTTAATCTTTTAAATAAGGGGTGGGGAACCTGACTTAATTTTTCTGTTTGTTCTATAATGGAACCTCAAGTTAATATTGAGCATATCTGGGGCCAAAACTGGGTCGAGGCTACCCTTTCCCACTCGGGTTTGAACAGGACACTTCCAGGAGGCTTCAGTTTCTCCCCTGTTTCAAATATTTTGACTGTATCCCCATTGCACCCCCTCCCCCCAATCTCAGAGGCTTTTGCCATTGGCATGAAATTATGCTGGGACACAGATGGCTCTTGGACCACAGGTTCTGCACCCCTCCTTTAAATGTCTTCCTCTGTACGATTTATTGATAAGCCCATCAGCCATATCCAAATATTTGACAATGCCTTCCTCTGTTTTGGTAAGAATGGACTGTGTACAGTGTTTTCAACGTGCGTGGATAAAATTCTCGTGTCCTCACTTTGACAAAATAAACTTGTTAGTACAAGGTTTTGTAAGCAAACATTTGAACTCAAGAATGCCGATAAACCGTCGATGATCATGGTTGATGGATGGTTGATTTTCAGGTAGTGTTGTGGTTGGATTGAGCTACATTCCAAGAAGCTTTCAAAGATGTTATTACATGAAACTCCTTACTTTTTGAACTTGAGGGGAGGGGGGAGCTCATAATCTTTACAAGATTTCTGCTGGAGAGTACTGTGAAAAAGCCTATATAAATCAATCAATTTGGGTTCTGAGCTTTTGTCAATGGATGCTAGGGTTTTTTTTCTACTGACCCTTTTAAAGAGGCGTTTTTGGAACACCCACAACAGGAAAATCCTGAAATTTGATAGTGGTGGGGCTCTGGGTACAAGGACACTAATTTTCAGTTTATTTTTCAGATTACATGCCATTTTTCCTTAGGATGCTGGCACATGGCTTTAAACCATGGTCTTTTGTAGTACTGTAGTCTTGAAGAGTGAAGGAGGCTCATTGTCCCATTACCCTTCCTAAGGTTCACCTCTTGTTTCGTTCTGTCAAAAATTGGGCTATTTTGAAAATAAGAGACCTGCAGAAGATACTGATAGTTTAAACGCCAATTCTGTACTTTTTCAAGTGCAGTTTGCACATATTTAAATATTTGTACAATAGTCTTAATTTATGAAAAATGGGCTCCCAAGTACTAGGAACTCTCATTGAGCCTTAACTCAATTGGTTGTTCATTTTAGTTAGTAGATTTTTCCAAATGCAGTTTTCACATGATAAGCATTTTTAGGTGCAATTTGAACAGAAAAATAGACATTTTATTTCTTCGTGCCCATTAAGTGTTTAGTTTTAAAAAGAGCACATGACAGGGTTTTCCCCATGTTTTACCACCCCAGCATGCTATAAACACATTCTTGCCAGTTATAATGAAAAACTGAATTTCTGTTTCTGTGCGTATTTTGTGGTATCTTTGTTTCTCTTTTTTAAAAAACCCAAACCCTTGGCAACCAGTTGTGGCAGCGTACTTTTTTTCTGGAGTTTTGAGACTGCACTTTGACACTGTTTAAAGTAGTGGCCTGCTACGTAACAGCACTTAGTCAGCATTTCTGCAGTGCATTACTGTGAGGAACGTAGTACCACAAGTGGCAATGGACATTAGGACCTGGATGTAGTATTCCTGCTTGCTCCGAGATTCTCATTGTCGCCTGCATACAGGTAGGTAAAAAGCACTATAATCTAACTTGGTGACTTTCTGTGTAAAATTGACTGTGGGGTATTCTGGCATCACACTTCTGACTGTGGAATTTCAGTGCAGCACTACTCATACTCTATAATGCTTAGATTTGAGGCCTAATTTGCCATCAGAGTTAGGCAAGCTGTGATACTGAGAGGTTTGCCTCAGACCCGTGATTCCTTCGTGTATATTGTTTCCACTGTAACTGTGTGCCATTGATATTCTCAGACCTCATTGGGAGGGAAAGGGATACAATCTTGTAAATATCTTAACTGCTCAAAGGTCCTGTTCGTTGCTCATAGGAAGCAGTGCTCTTCTAGTGCATATAAGATTTTTGTGGCGAAAGTCACACATCCCTTTTTGACTAGACTGATAAATGCATTGGTAACTTGCTTTGGGTAAGAAATGGCTGTTGTATTAAGCTTGAAGTTTGGGGAGTGGTATTTTGTAACTTTAGTAATCGGTTACATAATGCGTTTGGGTGGTTGTGGGGTGAATACTGTGGCATTTGTTCAACTAAGAATTCCCACTTCTAATGTTCCATATGCTTGGTCCAAAAGATCTAGCTCTTTCTGCTTCCTTGGCGGGGAAAATACATAATGGGGTCATATACCTAACTTATTGCCCTCTAGGTCTGTTGGCTTTGTTGTGGTAACTGTTTTCAATAATTATATCTCTCTTTAAAAACTATTTGATCTGGTTCTTGGCCAACTTACATGAATCAGCCTTATTTTACTTAGGGCTGGAATATATATCTGTTAAACCCAGGTTTTGTGTTTCAAGACAAAAAACTTGTTCATGAGTAGGATTCAACCGTGAATCTTCCAAATAACAATCTGGTCCTGAATTGGATAAGGCAGTCTCCTGCTATATCAGATATAGGCAGACTTTGGCCCTCCAGGCATTTTGGACTCCAACACCCATAATTCCTAACAGCTTACTGGCTGTTAGGAATTGTGAAAGTTGAAATCCAGAACACCTGGAGAGCTAAAGTTTTGCCATGCTTGTGCTATATCATAGTAGTCTATTAATGAAAAGTGTACTTTTGATATCTTAGTATCAATAGTATTTGCTTTGCAAGAATATAGTTATATTCAAACAAAGCTGCAGCTAGTGACAAACCCAGTGTGAACTGTGATGAAGCAAAATTCAGTACCTTTGCTGTGTAAACTCTAGTAGTTGTGTGCAAACATTGTAAGTAGACCTACTCAATTTTGACCAATATCCCAAAGTATGATGTGGTGATATGTGGGATCAGATCATAGAGTGCTACACTCTGCATAATTGGATTTTAGTAGACTCTTTTTCTCAGGACAGATGAGCTGGACATAAGTCTGTGGGGCGCACCCCTAAATGCAGTGGCAAACAGGATTACAATAATTTACAAAGCAGCAACTCTTGGTCTGCTAAACACATCACTCTGGGTAGGTGTCATGAAAAATAACTCTCAAGTGCTTGCATTGTATTCCAGTTTTAAGTTTATTTTTCATCTGTTCTATGAATTTGTTTTGATTCTTATGAATGCTGACTTCAGAGTTCAGAAGTGTGATGCCAGAATACATTATGCGTACTCTGCTAGGCCCTTGGTGCCAGTGGCTGGTCTTGTCAGGAGAGCTGTCCTGGGGGAGGGAGGGTTTAACTCTGTATGCCTCAGTCAAGCACCTCTTGGATGCAACGCCCCACTCCCTTCATCCCCAGTAACTCAACAAGGCCTGCATCCAAAGCCCCCCATAGAATTCATTTTGAGGGTGAATTTATGCTAATGATTTCCACCTGACCAGGAAGGCCCTGGTGGTTATGTATGTTAAAACAGAGCCCAACATGAAGAGATTGTGCTTTTTTAGGTTGGTTTGGACCATTGGTTGTTTTCCACCATCACAAGCTAGAAAGGTTGGAATCAACAGGTCAGTTGCAGATATGTCTTTATGCCATTTTGGTGGGTATAAGTAAATGCTGCAAGGGGTGCGGGGCTGGGAAGGTGGAAGGAAACGGGAAATTGTTTCACTCTTTGGATTGTTGCATTAGCATTGGGCCGTGAAAGCCCATGGTAGTGCCTACAAACCTCCGTCAGACAAACATGGCATTGCACGCTAGTACAATTGAATTGTGGGAAGGGATGGCTGCAAATAAAGTTAGTGATGAAAAAAAAAACCCAAACCATAATTCATGTTACTAGAACTTAAAATGTGTTCCTTCTGTTTTGGAAAAAAACAAAACATTAAGCCAAGATGTGGACTTGAGGATACTGGCACATTGACTGGCTTGGCAGTGTCTTGATCGTTTTAAAGGGCCACTCAAGAGTGAGTCGCAGGTGGAAAGGTTGCCTTTTCATTCTCTGTACGCCCTTAATGGGGCTTTCTGAAAAAAGGGTTTTTTGGGTTAGAGCGATAATGGTAGAAGGGGAAGAGAGCTAGTTCAAGGCACACTCCTAACTGTATTGTGAAGACTCAGAAGGCATTTGGACAAGCCTTTGAATAAACATTTTATGGGGTGGAGGGCTGTATGGCAGCAGAGAGGCAACCAAGTAGTTGAATGCAGTAGCTTCACATCTTCACACAAGAGGTGACCCACCTCTGGCTGCAAGTATTCTAATGCTGAGGTTGGCAGTTGAGGACTAAATGAAGACTAGTTGCATATCTTCACTATCCTGTAGCTCAGTCTTTGGAGTAAAAGCATTCATTTTCTGCTTGTGCCCCATGCTATTTCCCAATGACTGTTTTGGCAGAACTTGTAAACTCCCCTCAGCTTACCAATTCGTGAGTTAACTCTTATGATTAATCTTCAATTTTTGTTTTCAGAAACTCCTGTAGTCTATATCTTCTTACTAACTTCAGCTCTTATCCTTTAGGTGAAGGTTATACCAGCTGGATGAAACCAGAGAAAGGCCACATGTGAGGTAAGATGTCCTATCTCATATGTCAAGAAACCTTGAGGACAGAGGAGTCATTAATTGAGCTACATAAGCATAACTTTAAAAACATTCTCAGTGAAAAAAGTGTGATACTTATTTTAAACAAGCCGGCACAAGTGTGAAATAGTTCTTAATTGTCCACCCTATCAGGAAAGTTGAGATAAATCATTGTATTGTCGAAGGCTTTCATGGCCGGAATCACTGGGTTGTTGTAGGTTTTTCCAGGCTATATGGCCATATTCTAGAGGCATTTTCTCCTGATGTTTCGCCTGCATCTATGGTAAGCATCCTCAGAGGTAGTGAGGAAAAGTGAGATAAATCACTGTTGAATGATTAGGAAGTTCTTCCTAAGGTTCAGTTGGAATCTCGTCTGTCTTTTGAACCAATGGATCAATTGAGTCCTAGTCTCTTGAGTTCACTATCCTTCTTCCTGTGTCGAAGATGTGCCAGGACTTTGGACCAAAGGGCCTAACGGGAATCCCTGAGAGCAGATCTCTTTGCCAAAAGGGGAAGACAAATCTCTCCTGGAAGCCTCGACTGCCTTTCCAAACATGCTTAAACTACCCTGCCAAAAAGGGACAACAAGGCTCACCAGCTTAGGACAACTGACCAGCAGAAAGGCAGCCGGAGTTTCAGGCAGGAGCTCTTCCCAGAAATGTGCAAAAGCGGAATGTGCAAAGCTCTAGATCAGGCTGGTTTTGCTCATTTCTGGACCAAAGGCACCATCATTCTCTCAATTGGAGGGATCCCAGTCTCTGGGTTTGGCCCGGTCCTTGGCTGTCCCTTTGGCTTGCGCTAAACATTGACCAGAATGGGTTCTTATCTCAGCTGCTTCGACCTTGTAAGGAACTTCTTGAAGCCACAAAGTTGGAAAAACACCAGCACTGTATCTTTATTTACAAAATATGTACGCTGCATTCTCTGGTCATGTCAGTTCATATCTCAGCACATTGCTAACCTGTTCCGGTTTGCACAGGAAATTCCAAAAGTGGCACTCTACCAATATACATTTCTGTTGTTTGAACTCATGCATTTTTGAAACCATACAGTTTAAACTATAAGCTATTTTCACCCCAGAAACCATTGTATTCTGATACACCCAGATCTCAAAAATTGCCAGCATGCATTCATATCCTTTAAATCACGGCTTAATTGAAATAAACGTTACACTATGCCTTTTGACCAGTGGTTCTCAATCTGTGGGTCCCTAGATGTCAACTCCCAGAAATCCTAACAGATGGTAAATTGGTTGGGATTTCTGGGAGTTGTAGGCCAAAACACCTGGGAATCCAAAGGTTGAGAACCACTGTTCTAGACTGAAATTTCTAGCTATCAGTTGCTTTGCATATAGTTCGGGAAATGCTTGTTAATAAGTTTCTTCGGATCATAACTGGTTAGTGTATTATAAGCAGTAAAGTCTATTTATTCTGGCCCAAACCTAGAAGACCAAAATTTCTTGATATTGAATGTTTTTATATTGTGTAAATGCTATTTTAGATTGTAAGTCGCTCAGATCACCTTGGTGGAGAGCAACTAATTCAGAAATAAAGTGACGTGAAGTGATATTACCTGGAAATTTAAGCTTTGGGTGCTTACATAATCCTTAAAAAAAAGAATAAAAAATACTCTTTTAAAAAAAGAGTAACGGAGACTAGAATAACTGATAGAATAATTTTGGAAAAATCTAGTGTTGCAGAAATTCATGTACATCATGGAACAACGGCTACTGATTTAGACGAGTGTTATACCTTGACTTTGAAGCATAAGTTTTTTTAATGTCTGTTTTGCATTGAATTTTCTTAAGTGAGTACTAATGAAAGTTATTAATGAGGTACTGAATATAGCCTATGTTGGACAGAGCAAATGAAACAGCTTTGCCTTAAAAATGACAACTAGTTATTTCAGCATGGTTATATTTTAATGTAATTGTGTCCTAATTAAATTAAACCTTTTTTTTTTTTGCAGTCTGGATATAGTCCGTAGATGCCCGCGGAATAAATTATGGAGAGTGGACAGCCCTAAAAAATAATAAGGTAAGAGAAAGAGGGAGTTGTGGCTATTTGCTAGAAGCAAGTGTTTGGTGTTAGAGATGGAAAAAGGCACCTGGCATTTAAAATTGTGTTCCAGGTGTGTATTTCTGGCCATGTGTTAATGATGTTAACCTGCATCTACTTTCATTATTAGAACTTCAGTTTAGTGAATTTTAAAGATGCTGTGGTACCAAAAGGGTTACGAATCCGTTTTTTGTCAACTTTCGATTTGGTTTGGTTATTTGGAGTTCTGATTCAGAAAATTGCATTGGATATACCACATCAGCTCTAGTTTCTGATAGAGAACATATGCCATCCAGTAGTCACCGTCTGCTCACCCACAGAAAACCATCTATATAAATAAATGTTCATTTGTGGGATTAACAGAACTCAGAAACCACTGGACGAATTGACACCAAATTTGAACACAAGACACCAACTAAAGCAATCTATGTCCTTCACTCAAAAAAAAACAAAAACAAAACAACAACAAAAATATCAGAAAGAACTTAAACCCCCCACAAAGCTAAATGACTATACAGAGCATGCATTAAAAGAACACCCTCCCCCGCCCTTCCCTCCTGCATGAGGGGAAAGAACCCAACAGCTTTGAGAGAGGGAGGGAAAGGTGGCCCGTATATCTCTCTTGCTATCCCCTGCCTATCTTCCCAAAGGATTCAGAGAGAGGGAGGGGGGGAGAGAGGACACCCTTCCTCCAAATCCGCCCCTCCCTTTCCTTCCTTGCCTTTTCTGCTGTCGGCAGCATGGAGGTGCCTCCGCTGCGAACTCACACGGGAAGGATTGTGTGTGTGTGTGTGTGCGCGCGTGCGCGCGCCCAGAAAGATCACCCATACTGAGTTATGGGAAGGAATTCTGGGAAATGAAGTCCAGTATTCAAAGAAAGGACAAAAAGGCATGCTCTGTGAGTTTGAAAAGGCTGTCCAGAAAGGCACAACCAAAACACTCCCGAAAGATGGCTGTCCATTTTTACTTTATAGCAACCCTAGGCTATAATATATCTACAATAATAATATCTATATATCTATCATAATATCTGTAAGTCTTATATATATGTGTGTCTATAATAATATCTGTATGTCTGTAATAATAATGTCTATATGCCTATAATAATATCTATAGGTATATAATAATATCCATATATCTATAATTATAATATCTGTCTATCAATAATACCTATACATCTATAATAATACCTATATGCCTATAATATCTATAATAATATCTATAGGTCTGTAATAATATCCATACATCTGTTGCCCGTTTTTGCTCGAAAAATGTTTAGCCCTGTGCTCCTTGTATTTTTATCAGTTTTATACAAATTCATGCAATGCTTTGAGTCCCCCCAGGGGCGAGAAAGGCAATATATAAATACTGTAAATAATAATAAAATTTTGATATGAAATAAAAAATAACATCTATAATAATCCCTATATACCTTTAATAATAATATTTATGTCTATAATAATATCTATATGCCTATAATAATATCTATATGTCTATAATAACAACAACAATAATACCTTTGAACTGAGTTATATGGCAGTGTGGAGTCAGGTAACCCAGGGCCTTTCCACACATCCTATAACCCTTTGGCCTCGAGGAGACTGAAAAGGGGCATATATTAGGTTGACACTTGGCCACTTGAGTTGTGTATTGATAGCTTAGAAACCAGCTCTTCCTCTTTTCTTTCTTTCCAATTTCTCCACAATGGGCTACAGCAACGCGTGGCCGGGTACAGCTAGTATTTAATAAGCCTCAGTAGTATAAGAGGGTTTTGCGAGACGAGTTATTCTTGTTGCAGAGGTAAACAAGGATTGGTGATAAAGCTTCAGTGGAGACCCCTTTTCACCATGTTAATAACATTTCCAGGAGTGGATTTCCCTTCTGAGTGGTAGATTCCTGTTGTCTTACCTCCATTCTCAACTATGAGTCATTTGTAAGTTGGATGTTTGTTAACTCAGGGACTGTCTATATATATGCACATTCATCTGTTGCAACTTTGGCAAAACAGTTTGAAACAACTGAACTTCTGCATTAGTCTGTATCAGTGGGTTCCCCACATGTGGTCTGTGAAACAACTGAACTTTTGCATTAATATGTATCAGTGGTTCTCAACTTGTGGTCTGAACCACCAGTAATCTACAAGAACTAAAATACGGTCCATGGCCTCACCATTCCACAACAAGCCACATTTTTCAAAATCCAATTATCAGAGGGACAGAAAGTGAGGTGAAATCTGAAGAGGGGAGAGGCAAAAAAAAAAGAAACCCACTCAGGGGTGTTAGCTCTATGCTTTTGTGTGTGTGTGTGTGTGTGGGTGTATGGTAATTGTAATGTAATGTAATGTTCGTTTGTGGTATTCAGAGAACTCAAAAACCACTGGGGGAATTGACACCAAATTTGGACACAAGACACCTAACAACCCAATGTATGTCCTTCACTCAAAATATTGATTTTTTTCATTTGGGAGTTGTAGTTGCTGGGATTTATAGTTCACCTACAATCAAAGAGCATTTTGAACCCAACCAACGATGGAATTGAACCAAACTTGGCACACAGTTCTCCCATGACCAACAGAAAATACTGGAAAGGTTTGGTGGGCAGTGTCCTTTGGTTTTGGAATTGTAGTTCACCATAGATCACTGCATTCAAGCAATGATGGATTTGGACCAAATTCTACACGAATAAAAATAGAATCGTGACATTTGGGAGTTGTACTTGCTGGGATTTATAGTTCACCTACAATCACAGAGCATTCCGAACCCCACCAAAACTCCCACACAGAATCCCCATGTGGGCCACAGCAACGCGTGGCAGGGGACGGCTAGTGTGTGTGTGTGTGTATATGTATGTATGTCTGGAGGTACATGTAAAAAATTTACCTGTTCTGACTTAGGTTCTGTAGGTTGGTTCTTAAGTTGAATTTGCATCTATCTTGTTTGTAATTTGGGGGCTGCCTGTATGTGTGTGTACATACATTGTTCTAACTTGCATATGAAAGTCTAATTTGGAAATTGGTTTTACAGGTAAAAGAAGCTATTCCTGAATGCAGAAGAGAGAAGTCCCAAGATTGTAATAGGAGCCTTTTCAGATTTAAATAAATTATATAAAAATTTGATAACTGAACTGTGTGTGTGGTTTTTTTTAAGTGGTTTCGTATACTAGTTATGACTCATTAAGTGCCAGATCTGGAGGTAGCAGATGGAGCTGTACCCCTGGAGCTTCAGTTTTTTTTTGTTACTTAGGCAACCTGCTCCTAAAATACTTCTGAATAAACATAGGATCCCTCCTACAAAGTGTTTCATAGTGAATTCATGGGACTTCATTCCCAATAGGCATGTGTGAAAGTATCAGTGAGTGCACACACTTTCGGGCTCTTCACGGCTGAAGATAAGGGCCTTCTCTTACATTTTTTCTGGATGGATTGGGACAGGAATGAAATCCTGTGGCTGCACATATTAGTTCCTCTTCAGCATCATACTTACGAGGGGCGCTCATTAAAGATTTCCCCTGACACATTTTCTGTGGACTGAAAGCAATGATTCTTGGCACAGTTATTTGTCCTCTCCATAGCTGGGGACACACACTTCTCCCCTCTCTTTAAGCAGCTGTAAACACCTCACTTGTAGAAGACAACAGGCAAATGCCCGATACACCCAAATTTGAATACTGGTGGGGTTAGGCGAGGATTGAGTTTGTCATTTGGGAGTTGTAGTTGCTGGGATTTATAATTCACTTACATTCAAAGAGCATTCTGAACTCCACCAATGATGGAATTGAACCAAACTTGGCACGCAGAACTCCAATGACCAACAGAAAATACTGGAAGGGTTTGGTGGACATTGAGCATGAGTTTTGGAGTTATAGTTCACCTACATCCAGAAAGCACTATGGACTCAAAACAATGATAGATCAAGACCAAACTTAGCAGGAATACTCAATGTGCCCAAATGTGAACACTGGTGGAGTTTGGGGAAAATAGACCTTGACATTTGGGAGTTGTAGTTGCTGGGATTTACAGTTCACATATCAAATGAGCTTTCTGAACCCCATCAATGATAGAATTGGGCCAAACTTTTCACACAGAACCCCCATGCCTTGAAGGGACTTGCTTGAATGAGCCTCACACACACTCTTGCACATGCGCACCACGTTGTCATGCAACGAGCACGCCTGCTCTCCCCTCTCCACTTGGAGTCTCAGAAACATCCTTCCCCTTGGCTGAGAATCCTGCCAATCACAGCAAACAAGGGCTTTAAGTGGGAGGATTCACCATCTATTTCCAAAAAGGAAGAGAAGGACAGGCAGATTTTCAGCCTTCTCTGCCAAAAGCGTTCCTAAGATTATCACAAGTATATGTTTTGTGATGGTCTTTGGTGATCCCCCCTGAAACCCTCTTGCGACCCCACTAAGCGTCCCAACCCCCAAGATGAGAAACGCTGGAGTAGAGTAACTTCCTTCACAAAGTCACCACAATTCTAAGTTGACTTGATGCATTGAACAACAACCTCAGATTCTTCATCTGCACAAAGTCAGATTGAACCTTCAGTATAAATATTCAAGGCCTGTTCTGTTCTACAATACTCCATTCAAAAGCATTGCTGACGATTCAAAAGAAAATGGATTATAGGGCTTGGTATTGATTAGTAGGCTAGCAAATTAGTAGGCTAGGAAATTGGTGGTCTGGGGCTCATTTTCCCCGAGGTCTATTTTTGTCATATAGATGTAATTTTCGTACAAGAGAAAGAGCTCGTGTTACGGAGCCTTTCATTGAAGTTAGCTCCAAGCCTGTTGCTAATGAATATTGCATAGAGGTTGCGCTTGAATTATTGATTTGTAAGTTTAGATCCTGGAGAAAAAAGCAGATGGAAGCCATTCAGGAATAAAAACGGTTGCGTCGTCTTCATCATTAAGCAGCTTAGACAGAGAATGATCATGAAGATCGAAGGAAATGGCCACATTGCTGCCTTGGGTTCAGAGAGGGCCCCTGTGGTCCCTTCTTTTCCTGCCCACTTCTCCCACCTCAGTTGTCAGCCCTGCAGTTGGAAGGCAATAGAAAAATGCAGCAGACTCTTACCCCAGGTGAGTTTATTTCTTTTCATCCACTTTCATCTTGGCTTATTGGGGAGGATTGCTGGGCATTCCTGATCTTCTATATAAATAAAAATGTAATGTTTGTTTGTGGGATTAACATACCGTATATTTCGGCATATAAGACAACTGGGCGTATAAGACGACCCCCAACTTTTCCAATTAAAATATAGAGTTTGGGATAGACTTGCCGTATAAGACCACCCCTCTTCCATCGCACACCGAATAAAAATAAAAAATAAAAACATCAGATTTGATTTCAAATCCAAGACTATCAAAGCAGTATCCAGCTCTTCAGCTTAGAAATGGAGATGAGAGCCAACCCCCAGAGTCGGACACGACTGGACTTAACGTCAGGAGAAAACCTTTACCTCACCTGTAAACTCCTGTATGTTTGTTATTTATTTAACAGTTGTGGGTCCATGGAGCATAATAAAGTTCTATAAATTTCTATCTTACCTTGCCTAGGGTGAGACCAGAGCTGGGTCCAATGTCCTTTCCCCAACAACAACAATAATGGAAACCTAGAATTGGAAGGGACTCCAATGGCCATCCAGTCTAACCCTAATTCTGCCAGACAGAAACACATGTCCAAGCCCTCCCGACAGGTGGCCATCCTGTTCTACTTAATAACAGAAATAATAATAACAATAATAATAGAACCTTAGTGTTGGAAGGGACCTCAATGACCGTTCAGTCCAACCCCATTCCTGCCAGGCAGGAAGACACAATGCAAGCCCCCCCAACAGGTGGCCATCCAGTTCTAGTTATCATATATACTCGAATATAAGCTGACCCGAATATAAGCCGAGGCACCTAATTTTACCACCAAAAACTGGGGAAACGTATTGACTCGAGTATAATTCAGGGGAGGGAAATGCAGCAGATACTGGTAAGCTGAGGGGACAGAAGTTGCCTTAAAGCCACCCAACACTTGAGAAGATTTTGCACTGCAGCCAGGTATTTCCAAGGTCATGCCCAAAGGGCTTGATGAATATACCCTTTTTGAGATGGATCTAAATCAGGCATGGGCAAACTGTAGCCCTCCAGGTGCTTTGGACTTCAACTCCCACAATTCCTAACAGTCAGTATTTGAGAACACAGAAATGCTGGACCACTCTCACAACCACCATGTCAGACTCCACAGAAAAGCCATTGAAATCCACAAGCATGTGGACAATTTCAACAGAAAGGAAGAAACCATGAAAATGAACAAAATCTGGCTACCAGTATTTTTAAAAACCCCTCTAAAATCAGGACAGTAAATAAAAAACAAAACTCAAAAAGCAGGGGAAATTCAGACAATACAAAATCAGGACCAGCTAACACCTCCCAACAAAGAATTCCCCCAGGCAGGAAGCAGCCAGGCTTTGAAGCTGCAAGGCCATTCAATGCTAATCAACAACATTCCCACTTGGCAACATTCCCACTTGCCTCAAGCAGACAAGAGTTCTTTCTCCCACCCTGGACTTTCCACAGATATATTGCCAAGTTTCCAACAGACCTCACAACCTCCGAGGATGCCTGCCATAGATCTGGGCAAAACATCAGGAGAGGAAACTTCTGGAACATGGCTATACAGTCTGGAAAACTCACAGCAACCCAGCCAGTAGGCTGTTAGGAATTGTGGGAGTTGAAATCCAGAACACCTGGAGGGCCAAAGCCTGATCTAAATGCAACTTTTGGAATGTGTCCAGAGGAGAGCGACTAAAATGATCAAGGGTCTGGAGAACAAGCCCTATGAGGAGCAGCTTAAGGAGCTGGGCATGTTTAGCCTGAAGAAGAGAAGGCTGAGAGGAGAAATGACAGCCATGTATAAATATGTGAGAGGAAACCACAGGGAGGAGGGAGCAAGCTTGTTTTCTGCTTCCATGGAGACTAGGACGAGGAACAATGGCTTCAAACTACAAGAAAGGAGATTCCATCTGAACATGAGGAAGAACTTCCTGACTGTGAGAGCTGTTCAGCAGTGGAACTCTCTGCCCCGGAGTGTGGTGGAGGCTCCTTCTTTGGAAGCTTTTAACAGAGGCTGGATGGCCATCTGTCAGGGGTGATTTGAATGCAATATTCCTGCTTCTTGGCAGGGGGTTGGACTGGATGGCTCAGGAGGTCTCTTCCAACTCTTTGATTCTATGATTATGTGTTCATGATTTTCCCACTTAATACACACATTGTTGGCATGGCTGGAAATGAGTTAATTTCTCCTGCTATTAAAGAAAACATGTTCTGGATATGTCTCAAAAGCTAAACTATCTTGGAACATTTCTGTTATTTTTCCAGATGTATATCTGGTGATGTGAGTTTGTGCTCAACAGAACTGAACCTTTTGTGTTTTTCTACAGTACTATTGATGTACCCTGAAGAAATGTAGGATGCTTCTCTACCAGGCATGGGCAAACTTTGCCTATGCCTGGTGTTAGGAATTGTGAGAGTTGAAATTAAAAACAATCTGATAGAAAACTGGGACTTGTAGTTTGGTATGGTACTGGCTCTCTTAAACAGGGAAGGCTAAGGACCTTGTAAAACTACAACTGCTGTGACTCCATGGCACTGTGGCAGTTTTTTAAGAGGGCATTCCCCTTTAAGCAGTTGCTCTCTATCCCGCCTGCTTCACAGGTGCGGCTGGCGGGGACGAGAGACAGGGCCTTTTCTGTGGTGGCCCCTCGGCTCTGGAACGCCCTTCCCATGGAGGTAAGATCAGCCTCCTCGCTGATGGTATTCCGAAGAAGACTAAAAACTTGGATGTTCAAGCAGGCATTTGGTTAATTCGGTGCAATGAATGTGTCGACTACGGATTGGTAATATGGGTGATGCAATTGGACCACGATTTTAGTTAGGAGATGTATTGGATTGTGATTTATGTGAAATATTGTGTATTATGTTTTTTACGGTTTTAATTGTATACTGTGTACTGTATATTCTGTTGTAAACCGCGTTGAGTCGCCAGTTAGGCTGAGAAACGGCGGTATACAAGGACAGTAAATAAATAAATAAATAAGACTAGCTCGCCCCTCTCACTGGCGATTCCCC